GTTTAGGCTCAATGAAATGACCTCAATGAATAGGTTACATTGTGTTGGATTTTATTTAATTGCTTGTATTATATGTTATGTTCGACGTATTTTTTTTTAGACTTGCAACGAATAGTGTATTCGACCATACACCGAATACCGAATATTCGGTAGGCTTTCAAGCCGAATATTAGGCAAAAGTATTCGGCCTGCGTAAAACTTGTGGCGGGAATACTTGCATCGTCGTAGGTAGGTACTTGTTTCTTGTTTGGCACCAGAAAGTAGTATTTATTAAAAGCGTTTTTGCTTTGAAGCTGAGATTGTCACTACTAAATTTTAATTATGACTAGCGACTCACCCTCGCTCCAGTCGGGGTCGTCTCTTGGTACGTTTTAACGGTTAGTATAGATATCTCAGAAATGAGATATTTTCCCGTAGTAAAAAGTATCCTATAGGTATTATGTTGACCCAGATAACCACTATCATCATACCAAATTTCATCAAAATCTGTCCCAGTGGTTTTTTCGCGATGCTTTCCCAGACAGACAAAAAATTAAAAAACTATAGATTTGGCCTCTGTATCGATAAAACTGACTATATCAATAAGATTTTAAAAAAATATTTAATGTACAGATTCAACTCAGAATTTTATTATATGTAAGTGCATAGAAATTTTTGATTATTTTATTAGTTTGCTTTGCATCGGCTGGCACCGTCTTCGAAAATATCTGATTAGGTACCTATCTCTTTTAAATGAAAACCCCCGTTTAGTTATTTTTTAATCTTTAGTGCTTCGAAGTCAGTGTATTTATTTATTTATTTTTTCCATTTTTAGTGTAGACGTAATAAGCAGGTAATTTGTAAGAAAGTTTTTTAATAAAATATTCGATTAAGCCATTTATTTAAAAATAATTTATTGTTGATTTTTTTAAAAGCGCTCGACCGATTTTAATAAAATTTAAATGAGGCCCTGGAAAGTATACCCTTTAAAACAAAAAATAATTTTCCAAATCAAAATAAAGAGAATATTGATAACGATAAAATATTAGCGATCCCTCGACGCGACGCCGCTCATCGTCAAAATATTAATAGGTACTTTTAATGATGTTACAAGACAAATTTTATTTTTTTACTTTTTATTTTATTTTTTGTATCAGGGGTTACTTAAAATTTTAAATATTATGTGTCTCCAAAAACACACAGCATTGAGATGAAGAAAGCAGCTCTGTGATCTGTCAAAACTATCGAGAATACAGATTAAAACATACCTGAATCCAATAAAGTTTGATAATTAGGTTACCAGAGGGTGCAGGCATCTGCTTGCCGCCTTTTCCACTGTCAAGTGTCATAGCGTTTTGTGATTTGAAAAAATTTACATCGAAAAGTTAGAAAGTCGATGTAAATGAAGTTTTAGGTGAATTTTATGTGTAAAAAGGAGATTGGTAAGCATTGTTAATATTTTTAAAACATGGAACCTATGCGTTACGACGACGTGAAGGTCGGTCGGAAGTCAGTTGCTCTGGAGGAAGAACATGTCTCGGCCTTGACCTCTGCAGCTTCAGGGACCGGCTCCTTCTCTTTCTCGGAGGTTGAGGAGGGCTTGGCTTTATCCATGCATAATAAACGTTGTAGAACGCATAAGTGAAATTTAGATACTATGGTAGGTATATACCTACTTTAATCTCAGATGTGCTATACATATATTAAATATTTAACACAATTACTAGCTTATATATATTTGTATACATAAGATAGGGTAGTAGTGCTAATTCTGAGAAATTTATTATTAATTTTAATCAACTGTCAACAAATGAATTACCAGAAACATTAATATTAATTTTTGATAGTTAAGTACTGAATTTGCCATGAAAAGCTTTGTTCAACCTATTGATAGATAATGTTTTTCTTAATTGAATAAACTACAGTGGCTTTTTTCCCTAGTTTGAAAGCCTATTAAAGATAAGAAACTAGGGCAGAATAGTCTAGGTTTTACTGGGTTTATAGGTTTAAAAATTGATGATGAGTTAGGGTCATTTCAATAAATAAAAAATTATTTAGCTTGTACAGAACTCTTAATAGCTGGGCTATCTACTAGGGAGCAGAGATTTATTAAGAGTTTACAATCAATACTTGATTGGACTGTAGTCAATCCAAAAGATTTTAATTTAAATTCTTTATATGAGAAATTTTCAAGAGCCTGACTCAGGTTCTGCAAAGCATATAAATGTAGAAATAACTTTGCAAATAATATGTGACAAGAGTTCAGAATTTTTTGAAATTAAGCCTTACCTTAGGACAACTTTACAGAATGTTCCTCGTAGTTCAGAGTATTTATTTACTGTAGAGGCCCTAGGGCCAATTATAGTTCTTGGATATTCTAAGGTTTTATTTGAGGAATAGAAGGGTAATAAATCATACAAAACATACTGATTTATCTTTTATTTAAAAATATAGAAAAAGGATGAAGCTCAAAAGATCTGAAAAGAGTTGTAGACATACTGTTAAGAGGGATCAGCCCCTTTGTCAATGTGAGTCCAATAGCAGAGTTCCAGCTCCAAAAGTAAGGAGGCATTAAACTCAACAGAACTTCAGAGGGTGGTGCCTAAGCTTTGTTTACAGACAAATGGAGTCGAAAGGGCGCTAATCAGTTTGTTTTAAATTTTATAGCCAATTGCCCTTACCCGTCAGAATGAAACCACCTTTGAAGTTCCCATCCAAGCCGAGTTAGTACATGAGCTACCCGAGTTATTCAGACGTAACTTGAAAAATTTAAGAACAACTCAAAATAGGTATTGAGTTAGGACAACAGATAGTGAATTATGTCCCCTTTTCGACCTTAGAGACTTAAAATACTCGCATAGTAATAAAGCGTTTTATTTGATATCTTAGGAAGATATAATAAACTTACTTTATATAAGATAGAATAAGCTTTCTTTCAGGACAATAATTGGATGGTGAAAATAATAATTCACCAGGCCTATATTCATTTATGTATGAAAAAAGGCACACACGGTTCCTCCGTGTTATTCACGAGAGAGATCCTTCAGTTAACAACCTTATCATTTAGTCTGTCTTTAGCCCCCCGTACCTTTGCAGCGGTATCGAACAGGGTTGCGGAAACCTTGTAAAACCGAGGTACTTTGGCAGCGGTTACGTACTGGGTTGCGGAAACCTTGCGAAACCGAGGTACTTTAGCAGCGGTATCGAACTGGGTTGCGGAAACCTTGCGAAACCGACGTACTTTGGCAGCGGTATCGAACTGGGTTGCGGAAACCTTAAGAAACCGAGATGTTCGTTGGCTATAGCTGGACGATTATCTGTTGTATGCCAGGTCAGATTTAAGTGAGTTGCGCAGGTTGCGGAAACGCTCGCAACTTTACGAGTCTCTGGGTTGGCCCGTAATTACGAAAAATCGGTTTCAGTGCTCACACACGAGTTACGATAGTTCAGCCTAGTTTCAAATACCCAACATTTAAAGTTAGCCCGGCCAACTCAGAACGTCCTCGAATAAAAAGAACTTTGTTAAAGTTTTTAGAAGGAGATAACTACTCTCTAGGGGATCTTGAAGTTTGCTACTCATGTTAGACTATGCCAACCATGCAGTTCTTCAAGGTCAGCTACACTGTTTCAGGGTATATCTTTTCTTAAAGAAGTTCACCCAGAGAGGTTGGAAAAAGAAATTCTGCCCTACAGGAGCTAAAGTGGTGGTTGGATGCAATAGGCTGCAGTCCAACTCCACAAAAAGGAAGTAACGTACTTCTTGACCACAGACGCAGCGGATGCGGGCTGGGCAATTAGCACTTAGACAACCTAAGGAGTAGACAGGCTCCAAATCAAATACCTTGGCACTCCAATCTAGAGGAGGTGTATGCACTGTTTGCTGTGATCAAGTCACAGGTGTCTTTTTTTAAAGAATGCGCACATACTGGAGCAGTCCGATAATCAGACCCTAGTCGCCTATATTCGGAATCAAAGGGGACTCGGTCTATGAACCTGTCTGATAAAGGTATGAACCTTCTGGTAGAGGTATGTTGGGTTAAAACTTAAAAGTAACGAATTCTATCAATATAACAATCTCAGCTTTTTAGCTCCCAGGAAAGTTAAACGGTATCGCAGATCGCTTATCAAGGGGAAAGCAAGTACCCGAATGGCATCTGATCCCGCCAGCCACGGAGGCTATTTTTGAAGTGTGGGGGATACTAGACATAGACCTGTTCGTGTTCAACGAGACCACCGTCGTAGAGGCCTATGTATCGCTTGACTCAAATGAGAGTTAGGGCCAATCCCGTTCTCGTAAAGAACCTGCGGAAGGTTCTTGTTGATGAGATGACAGTAACAGGCCCACCACAAATAGGCAAGTTAATTTTCAGGCTTAAAAAAGTGGGGGTGGGCAGCCCAAATAATAGAGTGGAGTGAGAATAAAAAGCAACTATTTCAATGGAGTTGGTGTCGAGCTACATTGAATTCTACCGGTACTTCATTAAAAAAATGGTTATTATTTTTTATATAGGTTTATATAGTTTTTATATAGGTGCCGGGATAACAATGTCAATAGTTAAAGTCCAGAAATGAGGGATGTAGCCAGATTGATAGCTAAGCTTTATTATGTAAAGAATAAGTTAGCATACAGAATGATTTTATAACATAAATTAGCCATATCTACTTATTGTTAGCCACAATTGAGAATCTACCAAAAAGCTTATTAATTCATCAGGTTTTAAAAGAAATTTAATTTTCTAAACCACAAGAAGCTAAACTGCCCATATGGGATGTTAATATGTATTTAACTGGTTGAATTCAACATCATGTTCTGATTCATTGTTTCATAAGGGTAGAGAGAAAGCCTTAATATTGTTACTAGCTTCAGGCTGTAGGTGGCATGATCTAACTTTTCTGGGACTTTCTAATGATAGAGTTAATTAAGGAGGCAAAAATTCCATAACATTTTGACCAGGGTTTGGTTCTAAGACTGACTCGGTAACTTAGACAATCTTGTTGGCTCCTTACATCCCTGCTCGCAGATGGGCTCGCAGATGGCCTCGGAGGTCAGATGCAAGATGGGAAAGGATTTGCAATGTCTTTTTATCACAGTTATAGGACAAGTGAAGTCGGCAGAACCTGTCGCTTCCGGGTGGCTGCATTCAGTATTTAGGCAGGCCAAAATAGATGAGTTCTCGGGAAACATCAAGTCTACTGTAGCATCGCGGAGATGGCTAAACAATAGACAAATAAAGGAGATTCTAGAGCTAGAGAGATGTTTAGAAACATTTAAGAAATTTTACTATCGATAAAGTAAATAAATCCTTCACTTCTAACAGTGATTGTACTGATTTATTATATAATAATTTTAAGACTGCTTAATATTATAGAGTAATAATTGATTTCAATTTTTGGTTTTGGTTTATAATTAAAAATTGAATTATTTATGTGTTATTACACAGGGTGTAAGATTAATATTAAGATTAAGATTATTTTTTAATTATTATCTTTTCAGAGAAATTTATGCCTATGGTTATCTAAAATATTAATTTGAATTATTTTGATGGACCTATTAGATTTGAATTTTATGGAACTAGGTGTAAAAGTGGTGCAAGGTGCACTTAAAGTGTTTAAGTTTGTTTATCATGTTGTTTTAATAAGTAATTTCCTAAGTTAAATTAGTGATATTTTGATTACATGAAAGAAGTTACATAAAATATATAATCCATTAAAGAGGTCCGTAGCTGATAATTGTATAATTAATTGTTTATTCATTCACATAGCGTTTTGTGCATATAATTCTGGTCACCAGCAGATATCAAACAGGTCTTTATCTCAATGCTGTGTGTTTTTGGAGACACATAATATGACTGTTTTGCATTACAACAAAACAGGTATTATGTGTAGGAGAAAACACACAGCATTGATTCAAGGTGCTTGCTGGCGATGAAGACACTATGACACTTGACAGTGGAAAAGGCGGCAAGCAGATGCCTGCACCCTCTGGTAACCTAATTATCAAACTTTATTGGATTCAGGTATGTTTTAATCTGTATTCTCGATAGTTTTGACAGATCACAGAGCTGCTTTCTTCATCTCAATGCTGTGTGTTTTCTCCTACACATAATACCTGTTTTGTTGTAATGCGAAACAGTCATATTATTTTACAAAATGGGGTCTTATCAGGAGAAAAGAAAAATTAGTTTAAATAAATATCGATAGATGGCATTATATCTTGTATCGAATTGTTATTGAAGTTTATACAAAATTAAAAGATAAAAAAATTATCTCAAAAAAGATATACTCGTATTACGTTTTAAAAAATAATTCAAATAAAGGAAAACAAAATAACACAATTATGGATCAAATTTACCTTATTTTATTGATTATTGAAAAATTACCAATCAGGTAATGGCTGTGTAGTGCATATTCACATGGTGCTTTTACTCCTTATGAATTATCACAGTAAAAACTGTCAGTTACTGAAATTTAGTCATTCATATTTTTGAAAATAAATCAGTTCAAGAGTTTGTGGATCAACAATTGATAATATTAATGCAAGCAAACAAAAATAGCCTAAATTAGACTTGTCCAATTACCTTGTATGGAATGTGGCATCTGTACTAGTATGAGTATTATGTCCCCCCCAACGTGTGTTCACCTTGTGGTGGGGGGTACATTAGCTTCCGGCAATCCAGCCGGGCGCAAAGCCAAGAAACACACTGGGAGGTGGCCTAGCTTGGTGGGCAGGGTGGCATGCAGGTTGCTCCTGGTACTTCTCTGATAGCAGAGTGAGCAATTGAAGCAACCCCATGGCTGTTGAGGTCTGCTTCAGCAGACCCGCAGTCGGGGGGAAGTTTTGTTAGATTTTAGTGGGTAGTACTGGCCTTTCTAGCCGGTGATTCACACATAAGCACCTGTTTGTATATAGGTGGTATGCATAAATGCATTTCCCAACATTAAAAAAGGTACAGTATTATATGATCTGCGTTTTACAATAGATTATTAATTTTGGACTTAGTACCAGCCCAAGCAATGAATTGTAAAGAAGATAAAACACATAAATTAACAATTCTATATTACTAAAAATGACATTTAGTCTCTATATTCACATTCTTAAAAACCATCAATCCGGGGATTCAAATATTGTTCATCTCCTTTAAGTTTTCCTTCAGCTATTTGTCTGTCCCTCTCTCTTCTCATGGCCTGAAAATTTTATTTTATTAATTATAATACAATACTACATTAACAATTAACACAATATGTTAAGTAATGATGTAAATAATATTAGGCTATTACTACCATTTGACAAAGCATTACAAAACAAAAAAAATATATTTTAAAATTTATTTATATTTTATTTCCATATTTGGCAAGCATGATAGAATATTGATACATTCTAAATTCACATTTACTTTTGCAGGAATTGATTTAATTATAATTAAATCATTAGAAAATGATTACATGGGACAGCTAATTTCAAGTTCAAATCAATCAACTTTCAAGATTAGTTATTGAACAATACATGCATATATTACATTTTAATAATTGTAATACAAACCACAAATCTTTTAAACTGCTTAATCTTGGTTTGGCATTCATGATAGTCTGCGAAATACTCATGACATTTAACTTTTCCACGATCTAGTCCATAGGCTTCAAGACAATCCATATAGCGCATTTCTTGTTTTTGACAATTACCCAACATCTGGTGCGATATCATGCCACCAGTTAGATCAGTGAATGGAGAACGAAGAAATGGTGAGAGTGACATTATTTAAGCTAGAAAAAGGAAGGACTTTGCTATTATGATACGAGGTTAGATAATTACGTAAACAAATCCAAAATATTTGCAAATTAGCACTTTATAGTGATATTGAAGACGCAAATTATATAATAAATGTACCTGGCTGTTTGTGTATCGGATATTAACAAAAATTGACTGCTTTTACAACAAATATACTATAAATACAATTTACAATTTGATTGACAAGAGCTAAAGCTGAACAAAATTTTGATCTGTCAAGTGTCAATATCGATTATCGACTCGACTGTCTTTTTACTTTTTAGTTTTTAGCAAAGAGAATATAAAATTTATTATATATTAAAAATTAATAAATATTGATTAAAAATTATATGTATCAATTTTAACATTTTTCACTATAGTTAGTACTAAATCACAAGCTAGTACTAAAATACTGGCTTTCACATAACATCTACATTCTTCATAGTCTGTATACTGTAAATGCACCACTGTTATATGTGTGTCAAATAATTCTTGAATGTCAATTGTACGTCAAATTAAGTTTTTCTGTTGATCGAGTTATCGTATTTTTTGATTTTTATTAATCAAAAGATTTATCTAAAGATTGAAATATTTTCGGAGACATAGTTTCTGTCCAGTGTAATACATACTATACTATCCAGTTATTCTCATTATAAAACCAATTCATAATACTAGTTGCAAACGACTGTTAGGGATTTATTATAAAACAATAAACAAAACATGGCGCGATACAGTAATGAGAATAATGAGGATAAAATAGACCCAGCATGTGTTGCGTCTAACGTAAAGAGTTTTATAAAACAGGTATGTATAAAGAAATAATAAATATGTATAGTATTTGTAAAAATTATATTGCCCTATCTTTTATTTAAGGATATTATAAAAGAACTACTTCATGGCTCATTTCAAGATAACAAAACCAAGTTAGGAAATGATGCTTTGACTCTTGTAGTAGAAGTAGCCAAATGTCTGGTAACAGAGACATGTTTGAGAGCTACAAATGAAGCTCTACGTGAAGGTTCTGATAAAGTTGACATTGAACATGTAGAGAAATGTTTACCACAATTGGTGAGTTTATACTGAATATATTTATATTCACTTTTATTATAATAATTATTTGATATTAATTTATTTTCTTTTACAGATGCTGGACTTCCCCTAATTTTTGAAATTAATACATTAAATTTTAGATAGATTATTGATTGTGTAAAGATCAATCATCAACATAACCATTTGTTTTTAACTCTTAATAACTTATTTTGTTATATGAAATAATTATGTAAATATAGATAGCTGCACATTTTTTTGATAAAAAGTATAGTTTAATTCTGAACTATTTTGTTATCTAAGTTTTCTCAGAAATATGTAAAATGTATGCACATCTTTATTAAAATTATAATAAAATAATTAATTATCATAATGAAGTCTGTAAAAAACAAATATTATAGATAAAATGTATGATTTAAGTTAAATAATGATCAAGTATTTTTATTAAAAACTTTATTATACAAATATTTCAGTATCTGCTCTAACATCCAGAGAACTCCACAAGTTCTTTTCACACAACAAATTAAGATATTGTCTTATTGTAAAAAAGAATAACATCAACCCCACAGACTACTGAATAAATAAATAGCAAATGTTGGTTATTGATAACCATAGAAAACATGGTATTATTTTATTCCTAACATATAGGTAGCTTATAATAAATAAAATAAGTATTACAAGGATTTAATAGACAATTGCTTAAGGTAATTCTCAAGATTACAAACATTTTGTAATAAAAAAATTGTTAAGCCACAGTAACAGGCCTACAGTTTTATTTAAATATTTTTGCACTTTTTCAGAATTACCAATCGATTTGACAGTAATAATATAAGATTCAAAAGTTTAATATAGATTATATAATCATTATTTCTTTCCTGCAATCTAACTAGGATAACTTACAACAAAAATTATTGCCCAATGAAAAAAAACCTGTACAGAATTTAAATTAATATTAGTAATTTATAATCTTTGAAAGCAGCACAATAATTTTACTAGGCAACAAATTTTTAAGTCAACTATTTATTAATAAATAAAAAATAGCTTTAATATATTTATGTTGTGAACAATATAGCTTTTAACTTATCCGGCTGTTTTATTTTCTTGTACATCTAAAGTTTGTTCATCAATTTGAATCCATATCCATCTAATAAAATAGTTAACTATTATTGTCTACATCTACAGCTATTTTATACAGCACAGTTCGCAACCACTGGGATATGGCTGAGTTTATAAAAAAATATTTCATAGGCAGATGTATAATGCCCAATATTTTTATGTATAAGGCTGCCAGGGACTGCTTTATAAAAATAGTTCACTTTTGAAACAAATACAATAATATTAGTTACGAACTGAAAAACAAAACTTATAATAGTTATTAGAATTCTATATTAGATTAATTTCTACGTTTATGACTATTATTTCTATGTAACAATATGTTTTTAATTGCATTTGAAAATAAAACTTTCTACCAGGTATCATCTACATCACTGAATAACTATTAATAGCAGTTTCCAAAACTATTTCTATTAGATTTATTATATTATAATTTAAACATAATATAAACTTACATTGCTTGAGATATTTTTTTATCATTTTAAGAAAATATCAATTTTCGGGCTTCCAGGATGAAAAATACTGTTTCTCATCATTAATCTGCTACCAATATGGCAAATATCAAAGAACAAAGTCATTTTTGGCTTTTTACTCAATATATTACAATACAGTAATGGTCAGTTCATAAATGCGCTTATTTTTTTTAATGATAAATAAAATTAAAACAAAATTTTAGACTTCCTATAGAAAATTTCACATAAAAAACAGATCGAAGAACTCATTTGTCATATTTCAGCATTTCAATCATGAAAATTTGTATATTATATAAAATTTTATAAATATGCAATGTAGTCACAACCCTTAAAACAACTTTAAAATAGTATAGATGTTTATAAGGTAGTGTTAGCTAAGTTAGCTAGTTAATATATGATACTGACTTAATATTTGTTTTAGCACAGATTACACAAGAGCTGTAGGTATTTTGCAAGGCCATATTAATTATCGAGTCTTGTAAACAGTGTGTAAAAATTCACAGCCACATTTTCAGATGCAACAGGGAATGCATGCTGGGCACACTTAGGTTTTAAGTGTGCATCTTCACACACTTAATGTCAAACAGTGACTATACTATAGACAAATGACATTAACAAAAGGCAGGAACAGCACCAATATACGCCTCGGATTAAAATAAGTCCATCTGTTCGTTGCACATAACTTCTAAGAAATCATCGTCATCATACTCTTGTACAGCTCTAGATGTTCGGTCCGGGAGAGGGGAAAGGGGGCGAGAGGGAGATGGAGGCTGTTCAGTGTGTGAGTGTCCGTCTGTATCGCTTGAGCAATCGCGAGCATCTGTTGCTGGAGAGGGTGGAGGGTTTGAGCCATGTTCTGATTGCACGGTTGCTTCACCCCGAGAAAGCAATGACGGTAGTTCTGAATCTGAAAGGCGGAATAAAAAGATTGTAGTATACTTTTTAATTACTCTTACTTTATATTTCTTAAGCAAGGTCACAAGCAATCAAAGATTTCATCTGCATGAGTTACAGAAAATAAAATGTCTTGATAAATATATCAAAAAGCAATCTGTCTCAACTGATATTATTTTAGCAATTTGTTTGGAAAAAAATATAATGAAATAAATTAAATATTTTTGAATGTACCTGTGAGGCTTTGTTTTAATTGTTCCATTACTTTTTGACGGCTCTTGGCACGTGTTTTCTTTATTCTGCGCGCCGTTTCCTTTCGATCTTCATTAAAAATCTGGTTTATCATTGTTTGGGAGATTTCATCATCTCTCTTTAGTAAAAAGAAGTAAATACCACCAGGTGTGCGTCTACGAGTACCATTCTGTAATATAAATAATAATCTACATTGTATTATGCTTCTAACATATACTTAGCCAAAAATGGTAATTTGCATGACACCTAACTAAATACTCATTAAAAAAAGATTCTGCAGAAAAGGAAACACTAATGAAAATTTGTCATTATTATTATTGTTACATTACTCGCCATCGACATAGCAGCCACCTCTAGAATAACAAAAAAATATATCCCACGGGATCGGTACATTTTTCCGGGATAAAAAGTAACCCATGTGGTATTCCAGACTATAATCTATCTCTGTGCCAAATTTCATCCGTTTTTAAACTTTTACATTTATAATATTAGTAAAATTATATTACTTGATTAATTTTAATCCTATCTATCCCACTAATATTATAAACGCGAAAGTTTGCGAGGATGAATAGACGTTTCTTAGTCTATCACACAAAAACTAGTGAATGGAATTTGAGAAACTACATTAATTTAGCTTATACATCAGCTACACGTTTTAAAGACATAGTAATAAATGAGTTAGCTACGCGTGCGGAGCCGCGGGACAACACTAAAATAAAAATAAAATAAAATAGCCTTTATTACAGGAGTCAGAGTTACAGAGTTATTCAGATAAAGTTGTTTTAGGGTTTACAAAATATCTCTGATTTCTGTGTGCCTTTTGGCAAAGGCCTCCTCCATCTGTCTCCATTGGACTCTATCTAGCGCCACTCGTGTCCACAGTGGCCCTAGAGTTTGGCAGATTTCATCCTCCCATCTCCTTATCTGGCGCCCTCTTTTGCGTTTTACGTCCTCTGGGGTACCAGACCGTTACGCGTTTGCTCCACTTCTCCAGGCTACTTCTTAGTAGGTGCCCAGTCCACCTCCATTTTAATTGGTCAACTCGCGTGAGTATGTTGGTAACTTTTGTTTTAGATCTGATATCATCGTTGCGGATCTTGTCTTTTAATTTCACTCCCAACATACTCCGCTCCATTGCACGCTGACACTTGTAAGTTGTTTCCCTATGGGACTTTGTTAGCGACCAGGTCTCGCATCCGTAGGTCAAGCGCATGGTAAGATTACATATGTCAAAGGTCTTCCTTTTAAGATGGATTCCCAGCACTTTGCTCTTCATTACTTCCTTCAAAGACCAATATTTCTTCCAACCATATGCAATCCTCTTGTTGATCTCCTTAGTCATTTGGTCGCTTGGAGAAATTATTTGTCCTAAAATAAACATATTCGGTAACATAATCGAAAAGATCACCATTGATTGTTATGTCCACATGTTTTTGAGTTGGTCATTATTTTAGTTTTGTTCTTGTTCATTTCTAGCCCTACTTCCTTGCTTTTCGCAGCCAGATCTTTGATCATAAGTTCTAGTTTCTTGGGATTCTCTTCGAACAAAACAATATCATCAGCGAATCGCAGTGTGGTTAAGACGACAGCCGTTTTATATTTAGACCTAAACCAGCCCAGTCTATACTCCTAAATATACTTTCTAAAACAGCTGAGAAGAGCTTTGGGGATAGTGGGTCCCCTTGTCTAACTCCTCTGTTAATAGGGAATGGGTGACCAGTTTCTTCCAGTTTTATGCTACTTTTACTTATACTATAGATGTTTTTAATTATATTTATATAGACTTCGTTAACACCCTGCTTGTCTTAAGCTTGACCATATAGTGGTTGTGGTTGAGCGTATCAATGCCTTAGAGTAATCAATGAAAGCCACGTATAGGGGTTTTCTGGTATTCGTTGTATTTCTGGATAATCTGTTTCACAGTATGGATATGTCAATAGTGCTGAAATTCTTTCTAAACCCTGCTTGCTCCACCGGTTGATTCTCGTCCAGCGTTTTTGATATTCTCTCCTGTAATACTTTGGCAAACACCTTATATATATTGGACATTAGGCTTATAGGCCGGTAGTTACCCATCTCATCTTTAGCGCCTTTCTTGTGTATGAGGATTATGTGGGATTCGCCCCATTGATTTGGAATGAGCTTGTGCGCAGGATGTCGTTGAATACCACTGCTAGTATTGGCTTAATTCCTCAATTGATCCTCTCATTAGCTCATTCGGGATTTTATCAGGTCCCGGTGCTTTTTCTAGTTTTTGGGAATTTATGGCCTTCTCGACCTCTCCTGCAAGTATAGATGGTATTGGTCTTCTTTGAGTTGAGGATCAGCTTTGTCTTGCTGATTTACGTCGTTTAGCATGGTCTTTGGAGTACAATGTGCGGAAATAGTCTGTCGCTAAATCTCTGTATATCTTTTCGTTTAGTAATGCTAGTTTGATTCTTTTTCATTTTGGGTATCCATTCTTTCTCTTTCTCTCTTAACTCTTTTAGTGCTTTCTTTATGCCTCCTGTTTTCGCTATGTGTTTTTCTAAAGTTTGAAGTCTCTTGTTTTTCTATCTTTTTTTCATACTTTCCCTAATTATTTTACTAAGCGCAGAGATTTTGTTTACGTTGTCTTTTCCGAAAACAACTTCTTTCTTTCTTTTAGGAGATTTAAGGTTTTTTCGCTGTGTTTTGGTTTTCTTGTGTTTGTTATGCTGGTTTTTTGTTAATTTGGTGAGTTTGTTTTCTACCTTGTTGTATTTTTCTAGTACATCTATTTCGGACTGAACAATTTCCAGAAGAGGTTTGGTATCTAATTTATTCAATTTAGTGAGTTCTTGTTCTGAAGGTAGGAGGTTTCGATTGATTATAAATTTCTAGATATTTTAGGTGGTGCAGAGTTTAGACAACTTCGTACCATGCGGTGGTTTGTGTTGAAGTTTAGGTTCTGAATTATGTGTGTGTCCTTAAATAGTTTGGGTTTGTTCGTTAATATAAATCAATTTCGTTTTTAGTCCGCCCATCCGGGGATATCCAGGTCCATTTGTTCTTAATTTTTTTCTTAAAAATCGAGTTTTAACAGTGTCAAATTGTTTTCGAGCAAGAATTCGACCAGCTTGTGACCATTGGTGCTTCTCTTTCCGTGACCAAACTTTCCCATGATTAAATCCTCTCCCACTTGTCTCGTGCCTACTTGAGCATTAAAATCTCCCATCACTATAAGGTGATATGTTGGAGTATTTTTCCACGATTTCTGATAGACATTCGTAAAAGTGGACCGTGTCATTCTCATTAGCTTGCTCTGTAGGCGCATATACCTGGATAATAGACCAGTCTTTTTTGTGGTTGGAGATATTGATGTGGAGGATTGCTATTCGGTCCGATATCCCTTCGAATTCTTTTATCGAGTTTTTGTGATTAGACTTAACTAAGAAGCCTACTCCCACGGTGACCAGCAGTACCGCCTTTATTGTACATGATGTATTCCTTTCTTTCTACTATTCCCTCATCTTCTCTTCTCATTTCGCTGATACCTAGTATGTCCCAGTTTTAGGTCTCGTAGGGCAAGTTCTAGTTCTTCAAGGCTTCTTCTGTTCTCAGTGTTCGAGTATTCAGTGTACTGATATACATGAGGTTTTGTTTGTGAATTTGTTTTCCTGTATAATTTATTTCAGTTGGAGGGTGTTGGTCGTACTTTCCCACGGTGACCAGCCGGCTTGGGAAGAGTTTTTTTCAGTTGTGGTTGTGTGCGTTTGGTTGTTTAGAGTGTTTGTCTCCCGGTCCTGTCGTTTCAGTAGTTGCTATTTCTTGCTTGCTGTGGTTAGTGAAAGTGAGTTCGATCTAACTCTGTGAACTTGTTCTAACTTGTTTGTTTTGTTTATTTTAGTTGGGGCAGTAGTTGGTTGTTCTTCAGCAGCTGCTGCAATTTTAGGTGACTTTGACGGCGATCGTTTCCGCTTTTCTGTTGATTTCTCATTTATGATCAGTTTATCATAGCGGATATAAGCTCGATTTCCTTTCTTGATTTCTTCTTGTTGCTGTATCTTCAACTCTTTCCTTTTGTTTAGGATGTCTTTTGAGAAATCTTCACTAATGTAGACCTTTTGTGGGAAGAATCTTTTATTCTTTAACATTTCCATTTTACGCCATTCGAGGGTAACAGAAACAAGGATGGGTCTTGTTTTGTTTTGCATTGGCATCCCAAGTCTACGAACGTTGCTGATCTCCCATTTGTCCCAATTGTCCAATCCAGCTTTTTCGCCAGCCGTGTTAAAGATTTCTAATACCAGATTTAGAAGGTCCGCGTGATTTTTTTCAGTTTCCTGAACTCCATGTAGTATCAAGTTGTTCTTCCTTATATCCCTTTCTATGTTTTGTACTTTTGTTTTTAAAGCATTAATCTCCTTTTTCAATTCTTGGTTTTCTTCCAGAACAGGTCGCAGTTTTTCATCTATAGTGGCAGATAGGGTTTTTGTCACATTTTCGGTTATTCTTATTGTTTGTTTTTCAAATTGTTCCTCCATTTTAGAAAGTAAAATTGTTAGGTCCGTCATGTTTCAATTTCAACACTAGTAAAGAATAATGAAAAAAAAACAAATCAACTGTTAGTTTTTTGGTATGTTAAAAAGTTGCTGTGGGATAGTAACTACATACATAATTTAATCTATACTAATATTTTATAGAGGTAAAGTTTGTGACGTTGTAGGGGGTAATCTCTGGATCTACTGAACCGATATAGATGAAATTTGGTAAGAAGACAGTTTGAGACCCTGGGAAGGACATAGGATACTTTTTTTCCGGAAATCCTCCCTTAAAGGAGTGAAAATGGGGATGAAAGTTTGTATTGGGAAGCAAGCTAGGGACCGCGGACACGCCGGCGTTACAGTTACCAAGATTTCTTAGAAATTTAATTAATTTCTTAGAAATATACCTGGAGGTGTTCATAATCAATATTTATATTATTTTTCTTCCTTTTTTTGGTGTTCAATAAAGAGTATTTATTATTATTATATGAGAAAGGAAGAGGTCCATATCCTATAAGTGTAAGTTGGAGTTTAAGTTTAGTTAAAATAGAGGAAATACTGTATAAATGTAGATGTAAATTGAACTGTTCTAAGATAAAATGTATCATATTTTATCCTAAATAAGTTGGTAAGGAATAAATAACTGCAAACATTTTACAATTCAGGATGAAATATAAAAAAGTCTTTACAGTCCACTATAACCGGGAGTAACTTACCATAACAAGCATTCCACCATCTGCTTCAATTCTCTGTGTTTCTTTATAAATTTCTATAGCTTTACTTGCACCAATTACTTGTATAATCCTACCTGTAATTTTTTTTGTGATCTATACATATAAAATTGTAACAGCTGAATCTGTACATTAAACATTTTTTGGAAACTTTTATTGAATGAGCCATTATTATCAATACAAAGGCCAACAGTTTTTAAACTTTTTGTCTGTTTGTCAGCTTGTGTGTCTGTGATTGCATCACGTAAAAACCACAATGGATTTTGATGAAATTTGGTTTGGTGATAACTAATTACTCGGGTCAACATATAAGGTGCTTTTTACTTAAAAATGTCTCATTTCTGAGTAATAATACAACTAGTTAGTATAAAATAGTGGAGATGCGTACAATGCTATTATAGTATATACAAATATATATTTTTCAGAAAATTATAACAAAAATATTGTCATTTTATTTGCGAGACAAGATTACAGCATAATAAATAACATACCAACTAAATCTTTTTTTTCTTCAGATAATTTTTCAGTTATTTCTTGAACTAGTTGTTCCATTGGATGATCTGGTGTAATTAATAGATCGGGCAAGATCCTTGGATTCTGTTTTTCTTCTAAAGGCTGTTCACTGTTCACTCTTTTACCGAGCCTTAATTTTAAATTACCTCTGTCTGAAAAACTTCTTTTATTAGAAGCCTGGTCTCTATTTTTAAATCCATGACTGTTTGTAAATACTTTCTTAGAAATATATTCATCATCTAATCTATACTTAATAGTATAATCATAAGATTCAACGCCATATCTGCTTTTCTTTGATACATCACAAGTAACCATATCTTCTGTTAGCAGATCCTCCTGAAATAGTTAACAACTATTTTTATTACACTGACAATAATGAAAAATAAACATTTTTAAGATATTTTAAGTTTATATTCTTTTATTTTTGGACATTTTATGAATCCATTCAAGTATAATTTTCGCAGGGTATATAACTTGGTAATTTAACTAACTGATAATAAAAATAAATAAGTAATATTATATTTAGACAAATCACAAATCTGGGTAACTTATGTTAAATTCAATTTGTGTGACTCTAACAATGATACTTTAAAATGTTGCTTACCTGTAATGCTTTGCACCAAATATTGTATTTATCTTTTTTGACTGATTGAGGTTGTGGCTGTGGGCGCCGCGGCCGTAGCTTTGTGCGTTTTGGGCGTCTACGGGGCTCTTCATCAGACTCTGAGCCTGTTGACTCCTGGACAGATTCCTCATCACTTTGTTCATCTTGAATCTGCATGTTCACCAAAGATGGCGGGTTGAAGGCTTCAGGTCGTGCCAAAGGGATGTATGTACCCTCTTCTACGTCAGAATCCTCTAACTACAAAAGATGTACGTGCTACATTAATACAATGTCACCTAAATTTTACTCGTAATCGAATCATACAACTTAAAAAGAATCAAGTGTTTAATCGTAAGAAACATACAAGATATCACTTATATTAATAACTCGTAAAGCTACCACTATATTATACATAAAAAGCAGTATTTTTATCAAGCTCTAATTTTTTTAAACAAAAAGTTATTAGTCGTACCTCGCCATCTTCAAGTTCATGGGACACCTCTACATCCAGTTCTCCTTCTGTAGTAGACATCATAATTGCCAAATATATTCAAAGTTGAATAAAAATTGCACATGAAAGTGTTTTACAAGATGCAATAATTCCGCCTTAGATCACAGTCGCTGGCTTTTACTGCTGTCATTTACAAATAATAGACAATATAAACTAGCTGTCAAACAATTCTGAATTCCTTAACACGCACACAGAATATCAAGAATTTTTGCTTTACCTAAAAAAAATTATAAAATAAATTTACTAACTTTGAAAAAGAGAAATACGTTATTTTTTAAATGCTACCTGTTTAACGCAACCGTATGAATTTTATTTACAACTAATTAAACTATTATATATATGGTATATTCATTTTGTATTAGTGAAATTTACAACAGATTTTGGGTAAGTTTGAACAAGCATATTTTCTGAATAATAACACATTCAGGTTGTATTTAATAATGGAACGTTTTTTTAGGAATTTTTAGTCAAGATATATCTTAGTGTTTCATAATGAATACAGCTTTATTTAAAAATAAATAGAAATTCAAATTAACCCAAAAATGTACACATTTATAATTATATTTACTTTATAAATAGGTTTAATAGAGCGTCTCTGGATTACTTATGCAGACTCAATTCGCACCATGCTATAGTGAATATATTATAGTAAACAAGAAACATATTTATTTACTCAGGGAGATAGTAAGCGCCTCGCTTAAAAGCAACTCTTCGAAAAGTTATCGGAAGAATTGAGAAATTAAGGTAAAGCAGAAAGTATTTGTTCTACTCATAAATTCATTTATTAGAATTGTAAAATATCTGAAAATTTATCAATTTATTATCTTTAAACTAGCTGCCTTCAAAGTAAGCCATAACTTTTTTAAATGTCAATATTTCCGTATATCTCTATGCAATGTAAGTATAGTACTTATTTAGGCTATTTATTATTTACCTAAATAAACAATAAAAAAACACTAAAATAGTTTTAACGTTGTAGGGCTGCATTTGAAGCAGTTAGCAAACTTACTCTACAACCGCACAATCGCATTTCCATTATTGATGTCAGATATACCTATTTACCACAAGAAAGGCCACCATTAGATGATTATGATCCACTGCAGCATAGAGAGCCTAAACGGCCAATTAAGTAACGTAAATTTTTAAGTTAAATTTTAATACAGCATAATTTTCGCAAAACGGTTTGTCGTATCTATTTAAAAAAAGGTTTAGTCCAGGGTAAAATGCAACACTTTGATACCATCGCGCTTATCTGATGATAGATAGCAGGGTGGGCCATGGAGCCCTATAATGGTTACTATTAAAATCTCATTTGATTCGGTTTTATAGATCCCACACAATAATGATTTTTGTTTATATCAGGTAATTAGTTATACAAATTCCTATCAACAAAGTGACGGGGAACGTTAGTTCCTATAACGTATTCATCAGGGACTATTTCGCAGATTATGGATGGCTTGTTTTAATCTTATACGAACTGTGTTTGGCGCCGGAATATTAGGATTACCGTTAGCTGTTAGTCAAGCTGGAATTGTCCTTGGACCTATTATGTCCATGGGATTGGGTCTACTGATCATTCACATGCATTTGACTTTGGTAAAAAATTATTATTGCATTTATGTAATAATATTTAAGGGAACAATTTATTTGTTTAAATTTGTTTTATATAAAATGGCTATTTTTATTTCATTTATGTATTTGATTTTTTCTCGGTCATGTATACTCGTATTTAACCTAAGTTATATTTTCACTTAAGCTTTGGTGTCTAAACGAGATCAGTCGACAACTAAAAATTCCTCACACGTCGTATCGGTACGGATTTCGCTTGGCTCTACTGCATGGTCCGTCGTGTTGTCATAGTATTGGACGTAGTGGCCCGTAAGTTTTTAATTTTATAAACTATGACCTTACATACTGTAATTTAACGTTTAAATTAAGTCAGTTTACTTAGGCTCGTCATTGTTGTGAAGCTACGCCCAGCTTGAACTGCAGTTCTGCTCAGAAGAATATCTGTACTATAATAAAATTGTAACTAATCCGAATCTGTACCTTAAATATTTTTTGGAAAATCTTATTGAAACAGACATTATTATCGATATACTTAGAGACCGAATCTATAGTTTTTAAAAAAATTGTCTGTCTGTCTGTGACTGCATCACGGAAAAACCACTGGAGCTATTTTGATGAAATTTGGTATGATGATATCTGGTTATCTGGGTCAACATATAACTAGGATACTTGTTACTGCGGGAAAATATCTCATCTCTGAGAAATCTATACTAAACGTTAAAACGTAAGTAGAGACGAATGATATTTTGATTTGTTTTAATTAACTGCGGTATATCTGTCAGCGCCAAAGAAGTTTTACTTCAACCGCGCGTAAAGGCTACACTTACTGATCTTTTTTTAATTAGCACCTCCAGGTAAATTTCTAGGAAATTAATTAAATTTCTAAGAAATCTATTGTTAACTGTAACGCCGGCGTGTCCGCGGTCTTGGAGAGATTAAAGTATTAAGTATATACTAGCGGCTCGATCCCGCTTCGCTCGGGTTCGCCTCTAGAAAAACAAAAAGAAACTATCCCATGGGAACTGAACAATTTTCCGGGATAAAAGTAGCCTTTGTGTTATTCTGATATATGAGCTATATTATTATAAAGTTTTATTAAAATCCATTCAGTAGTTTTTGCGTGAAAGAATAACAAAAGAAACATTCATACTTATATCTATACATCCATACATCCTCACAAACTTCCGCATTTATAATAGTACCTGGGCGACCGAGCTTCGCTCGGAGTTTTTGGACAAAAAAACAAACTAAGAATTTGAATAAATACAAAAAAAAAAACAATATTAAAAACTTTGTGTCCGACTGGGATACGAACCCAGGTCTGTGGTTGTCAAACTTGCGCATTGGCCACTTGACCATGATGCTTATGCCTGAGCGTGCGAAATTATCGAACATAATATTTTGCGTGGAATAATGCAAAAGAAATAGTAATAATAATAAAGCTTTATTTATTGTATACATGCTTACTTATAATTTTAAATTATAATTACTCTTACTTAATTAACAATTTTTAACATTGTATTTTAACAGATCATATTTATAACTTATTTAATTATATTTAATTTAACTTCACTTTTTGGTTAGTGACTATTTATTAAATTATAATTTTTTAACTAATAATTTTGTAATCTGGAATTAAATTATTTTAAAAATCTTTAATATTATTTGAAATGATATTGTATATGGTAAATTCTAATTAATTTAATAATAATTTTAAGAAATATTAATCGATAAAACCTATGGGCTATATGTACACATTACCAAGTCTTGATGTGTTGAAGAACAAATGAGCTTTTAAAAATTCACCTAACAAACAAATACAAAAGTGAGAAACATAACATACAGATACTATCAGTGCAAAACCATCTTTTCTGTGTGTGATGACAATAAAACAAAATAATTTGTGAAGTGGAAGCGTAAAATAATAAAACATAAGTTTATAACCTCAAAAACTAATACTCTGTATAAAATTGCAATTCAACTAGGTATAATTGGTGCTCTTTTTTCGCCGAACAATAAAGCAGCTAAAGAAATCAAATACATTTACCATCAATCAGTAACCATAGAGGATCCCAAGAAGAAAAATTCAATTGTTCGGTGCCAACGGTGTCAGCAATATGGGCACACAAAGAATTACTGTATGAGACCTTTCCGCTGCGTGAAATGCGCTCAGGCACATAAAACCTCGGACTGTCCAAAGCGCGATAGAAATACGCCAGCCCAATGTGCACTGTGCCAAGGCTCCCACCCGGCAAATTACAAGGGTTGTGAGGTGTACAGAGAAATACTTGCCAGAAAAATTAACAAATACGGTCATCGAAGAACTGACAGGCGTGCGACTAAAAAAGACAACACGAATCAAGATACAAATTCTCAAAGAAATACTGTCCAACAATCCTCCTCCAGTGAAAAAGAAGACGAACCATACACTTACGCCAAAGCTGCTAGAAATGTCCCAGACAAAGTGACCACAGATAATACTATACCTAATGTAAACCAAAACTTAACAGTATTAGAAACCCTCCTCACCAAACAAAACCAGAAATTCGACTTAATCTTACAACAAATGAGTACTCTAATGAGCCTCATGACTACGCTCATAACCAAACTACAAGGCTAACGGGCCTTGGGCTAAGACTGGCGACTTGGAACATAAATGGACTCTCACCCAATAAAGATGAGCTCGAGATACTAATGGCCGAGCACAAACTAGACATAGTCTTAATATCCGAAGCACACTGCACAGACAAAACCAATGTCAAAATCAAAGAGTTCCAGACATATACTACAAACCACCCAGACGGTACAGGTCATGCAGGTTCAGCTATAATAATTCGGGACAAAATAAAGCACCATCTACTGCCTGAATATAAAACCGAGCAAATACAGGCTACTACAGTCGCAATACAAGATAGATGTGGATACTTTAATGTCTCTGCTGCATACTGTCCACCAAAACATCGAATAGACTCCGACATGTTTTCTCACTTCTTCTCAAGTCTTGGCAACCGCTTCATAGCAGGAGGCGATTGGAACTCCAAACATGTCCATTGGGGTTCAAGACTAATTACAACAAGGGGAAGACAACTGAAGTTGAGTGTCGATATGAACCACTTAAGTACTATTGCTCCATCAGAACCTACCAACTGGCCAGCCGATCACAATCGAATCCTGGACATACTCGACTTCTTCCTAACAAAAGGACTCTCCAAACAGTACATGAAGATCGAGTCATGTGCTGATGGGTCATCAGATCACACCCCAGTCTTACTATCAGCTCAACTATAATTGAAGTAGAGAGACCCACAATATTATATAATCAGCATACTGATTGGCCCTCCTTCAGGGAACACATAGAAGAAAACCTTAACCTAAATATCAGGCTCAAAGAAGTGGAGGTAATTGAAACAGCAGTAGTGCAATTTACTAATCTCATACAAGTTGCCGCGTGGCGA